CAGAATTAGCCAGAGATCCGTACCTCTCAGGGTCAGGACTTTACTCCTGGTGTTGAAGACTTGTCCAGCAAGGCTGTGGCTTATTTCTCTTTTAAAAGTCGATTGTGATGGGCCATAGCACCAGTACAGACCCAACCGGTGTGTTAAGTTAGCAAAGGCATAAAGGGAGGGAGTTTTAGGCCTACTTCTCCAACCCCCTCAACCCCCACTCCATGTTTTGCCAGTTCTTGTGAAAATCTAAGACTTTCGAGAAACAGTGCCATCAAGAAAATCAATCTCCAGTGCATTTACCCCTAAGGCTGCCCTCAGAAACCAGGTTACCCATGTTATCTGGAACAAGCACTGAGGGAAAAACCCCAAGGGAGCAGGCTTAGAACCAGATCTGTTTGGATTGGGCTTTGAGTTTAGAACTCTTCTGCCAAAACTACAGGACCATACTTGGTTTATTTGGATAAATACCAATTTCCAAAATACGTACATTCTCACATAAGGGGTGGGAGTCATCAAAATTCATTAGCAAAACATTTGAAAGTGAATAAAGGAAGAATTATATACTCACTCCTCACTTATCAACATGGTTAGGTTCCAAAAACCAGGTCATTAGGCAAAAATTGGCATTATATGAAAATGGAGGATGACATCATATCACAAAATGGAGGATAACTACATCATTTACATAACTTCCAGATTACATCATTACATAACTGCCAAACCACTGAGAATCATGGCCCAGCTAAGGTGACACATAACCTTAACCATCACAGCCAGCATTACTCTCGCCTTGTACCCCGGCATTCCTTACTGCCACACATACGCCGTTACTGCGCAGAACAGTTGGATAGTAGATGTTTTACTATTGTTGTAAATGTGAAATGTCGGATAACGAGCTAGTCAATAAGTGAGGAGTAGGCGTAATTGCATGAAAGTGGCTGATTTCTTTTTGGTTTTGCTGGAGGCCCCTGTCCTACAGAATTTCTGAGCCAGCACCATGACCATGACACATGGTTACTTACAGTGGACCCAGGACCAGAGAAACTCAAATTTAAAAAGGGGGCACCTGGTCCCCACCAAGATTCAGGCTTCATTTCTGTTAGTGGTGTCTTCTCCATCAGCTTCATAAGGCCAACAAACTTCCTATGGTAACACAGAACACTTCTGAACTTATTCACACACACACACACACATACACTCACTCACACAAGCAACATCCCAATACCACAGTTCAAACCCAAGGTGTGTTTCTACTGTTGGGGCTTAGTTCCTAACAACTCTCTCAGAGCTTCTATGGAAATTAATTAAAACAGTAAATGGCATCTTAAATATAACAGTCTTTGGTGACAGGTGCTCAGTGTAAGTGCTTGTGACAGTTTTGCTAGTGAGCGTCCCCATCTAGATAAATCTTACCTACTGCTAACAATTCCTGATGTTCTGTGTGTCTCCTGGAAATACTAACTTGAGAGAGAGGAATGGTTCTGAGTCCTCCCCCACCTAAGGCCTTCCTATAGCTTTTAAACTCTATTCAGGTATCACGTTAGCTACTGAATTGGTAGTGAAGAGGAAGATATAACCAAGTCCTCAGGAAACTGTGGTGCAATGCTCTCTCTCTCACAGTGAGATTTATCTGACTTCCAGAAGAAGAAGCACCTAAAGGCCAAGTTCTGAACTGGTTTTCTGTGTCTGCCTCTATCATAACTCAATAAGTATTTGCCAAGAAGCTCACCTCTTCCAGAGATTGGTAAGTACCCTTCCATGACCTCATATATCTACAAGGTAGATGCTGGGAGCCACCTACATTGCAAAAGAAAGGCAGATAGGGTAGACGCTACAGGCCCTCACTAGTGCATCCCTGCATTAGCCACTTCAACTCTGCCTCAACTGAGAGGGATGGAAGAGGTTTACAATGAAAAATACCATAATCCCCAGAAACCCACATAACACAGTCAAAAAGTCACAGAAAATCTGCATGTGCAGTGAAAACGTTTGCCTAATACACTGACAAAGCAGCCAGCTTTTCAAGGACCAGGAGGATGATAACAGTCCATTAACCCATTTCCAATTTGTCAGTTTAGGATCAAAAATGAATCATGGGAAACTTTCCTTTCTGACCTCATGCAAACTAGGGGCAGGGGGGCAACTGCAGGGGAAATCCAGATAAATGCAGTCCCCTTACAACAGACCTCTCATAAATTTAAGAGATTGTCTTCTGGAAAAAACAAAGTGCATGCTTCTATGTGCAACATGCAGATGTTTTTACCCCAACATGGTGGGCTATGAAAATCTGTTTACGAATCGTAAGAATCAGATTGTCATTGCTGTCCAGCCCAACCCTAGCAGCTTTGAGGCAAATGGAATCTAAATTTTACACTTAAAAAATGCCCTGTGCCAAATTCCCAAGCAATTATCCTCCCTTATGTAATATTTGGAGCCCTGGTGGCGCAGTGGTTAAGAGCTGCAGCAAGCTACAGCTGCTAACCAAAAGGCTGGCAGTTCGAATCCATCAGCCGCTCCTTGGAAACGCTATGAGGCAGTTCTACCTTGTCCTATAGGGTTGCTATGCGTCAGAATCGACTCAACAGCAACGGGTTTGGTTTTTTTTGGGTTTTATGTAATATTTGGGGGTAGAGGCTGGGGGGATATAAGTTTTCTTTAATGCAGCTGGCCTGATGAACTATCATTAGGAAAATGCAATAAATATTAAGAGAAATCCATCCCACTTACATATTCAATCTAGAACCAGCCTCTCCCTCTAGGAAAAAGTCGAGCTTGAGTAATCACAGTACAGACAGGAGTATGAATGAGTATTGGAAGCCTGTTGGGCCTGGACTCTACCCTGACCAGAGACTACTTAGGGCCATATGTTTCTGCTTTCAGGAGCTTTGTCCTCTCACCTGTGAGGGGAGGCAGTTCTAAATTCTGGGGTTTCTATAGAAGTCAAAAGAGGAGCAAAATAACACTCACTGCCGTTGAGTTGGGTAAATTCCCTCCTATAGGAATTCTCTCTTATCTTCCTAAATAAGACAGTAATATGAAGCCCTAAACATTAATTCCAGAATTTTTTGTTCCACTGATCTTCTTTCAGGGACCCTCTTTGCCTTAATGTCTTGACTGCTGAGCTCTCGGGAAATTTTAAGATCGCCACCACTCCCGACCCCCGTCCCCAAAATGTCTGCCTGCTTAGTGCTAACGGTTCCCATGCTTCTTATATATATGCTTCCCTTCCATGGGCATGGAATTAATCAAATTTTTGAAAATTGGATCTCTGAGTAAGTTCACACCAGCCGCTCTTTGGAAACCCTACAGGGAAGTTCTACCCTGTCCTATAGGGTTGCTATAAGTTGGAATCAACTCGATGGCAACGGGTTTGGTTTTTGAAGTTCAAATATTTTAACTTTTACTTAAATGAAGATTCTTTCCAGATATATCTGGTAGTAACCTAAGCAAAGAGTTGATACTTTAATAATGGTTTGGTTGAGGGGCTTGAGTTAAGGTGGTTCATGAATTATCCGATAAGGAGAGAATCCAGATTACAGACTTTTGCCTAAAAACAGGCAGGGGAGGAAGAGAGGTGAAAGGAAAGGGGAAAAAACCACAGTCAGTTTAAATATGTAATAACACAGTGAAGCCTGTGAGAGACGGAACTCCATGGGCCTGCCTTGTTTTTCTGGCTCTCGCAAGTTTTCTGCCTTTGACACGGTGCAGTCTTACCACTTTTCTATCTCTCCTTTTAGTGGGAAATACTTGAGTTTTCCTTCTCTGTCAGGTTTCTACCTTACACAGGTTCCGGCTTTTGCAGGTTTCACTGTATTACTTTATATTTGTATAGCAGTTTAGAATTTACCCAGTTTGCAGCTTTAAATATTTTCAAGTCTTGAAGAGGAATGATTAAATTATAATTTGCTGGTGACTGGTAGTGCAGTAGATAAAGCGATCGACTGCTAACCGAAAGGTCAGCGGTTCAAAACCACCAGTGGCTCCATGGGAGAAAGATGTGGCAGTCTGCATCTGTAAAGATTTACAGCCTTGGAAACCCTACAGGGTTGCTATGAGTCAGAATCGACTCGACGGAGTGGGAGGATAATCCAAAAAAGCACTCAGCAAAGCAAACCGTTTAAGGGAGGCAATCTATGTGTGTGTCTTTCCTCATTCCTCGTGGCTGGAACAGTACAGCAAGTGCTTTTATTCTGTAACAGCTGGCAGTGCCAATCACTAGTGACAATTTGCCAGGCATTTCATGTCAACTTGAGTTAGGTCATAAAAAAACACCTGGAAGAATACTGAGTTGTTGAGTGGGGATCCTCAGACTGTAGGTTACATTCAACGTAAAGGGTTAACTGAAGGAAAGCATGAACGTGGCTCAGCAAAGACGTTTCTGGAATTCTTAACCACTTCTCAACTTTTATCTAGCCACTGAGGACACCGCTACAGAAACCCCATGCTTTGTATCACCCTCAAAGCATGTTTTCTCTGTTGCGTTCCTATACCATCTACCTGGAGACTCCAAGAAAGAAGGGGGAACAGGCTTTACTGTGGGTCCAGGAAACACCTACCAATAGTCACCCAAAGTAAGGACTCTAGAAATGACACAGAGTTAGACAAACAACTATAGAGGAAAGTGAAGACAAAATAAAAGCCACTGAAGTCCCTCTGAGACCTAATGGGGAGACAGCAATTCAACTGAAATAGCAACAGTCTTTGAGATGCTACTCAGAACAAGCACGCCAAGCTGAGTGAAGATGGAAGAAAAACAGTAGAGCTCTTAGATTAAGTCAGTTCAGGAATTGGTGTTAAGTGCCCACATAAAGTAAGAAAACTGTTTTTTTCCTCCAACTTCTGTCATAATTTTAGCATTCATGTAGCTTAAAATTGGCATCACACAAAAAGCCTCATACAAAGGCTGTAAGCTCAATTATCAACAGAGGTAGTCAACAAAGGAACTCCCAGGAATTAATTTTAAGACGATCAAAGTGTGACTGTACATTCAAAACCCTCGAGCCACATAATCATCCCCAAAATGAACTGTTTTAATTTAAAAAGCTTAAAAACACAATGACAACGAAGCACTGATGTGCCTCAGGCACAGTCCCAGATCAGTGCTGTCTTAAAGCTACGTCCTCTCTTTCCAAGCAAGAGAAAGCAGAGAACAAAGTTCAATCTACAATGGGAAGGAACAGGATGAAAAGAAAACAACCAGAAGGGTGCTTTCCAGCCTAGAGTCTTCTTCGTTTTCAGCCCACACCACTGGAAATGCTTATTCTTCTTATATGAGTCTTTTCCTCATAGGCTTTATTTTTTCAAAACTGCAATCTGCTGAACGATAGATGCCCACATCTCCGCTGGCAGAAGAGCCACTTCTGTGCACAGTTTTTGCTTCCTCAGTGTGGGTCCTCCTTCCCTGAAAGTGCAAAGAGAGCAAGCGACACCTGCAGGGCCCAGAGCCCAGGACCATTTCAGCTCCACTTCTAGAGCGGGGTGAAGGATTCGCTGCATTTGTGCTTCAAAGATCCAGTTCACTTTGGTTGTCCTTCTCAGTTGGCAAACTGCTCATAAAAAGCAAACTTGATCCTCTCTATGTGATGGCAAAGTTTAATGGCGGGGCCCAATTTTAACTCCATGCACTCCTGAACAGTGGGAAGGGTAAGAAGCAACAGGGCCTGCCCATCAATCTCCTGTTAAGGCATAAAATACAAATTATCTATGATGTGCACATGAATGGCAGCTCAGTCATGACAATCCCAGTTCACTTTGGCTTTGTCAAAATCTGAGTCCCTGTGCTTTATTACTTTTTCCCTTTAAACAAGTGCTACACATTCCCTTTCAGAGGCCTCTCCTAGTGCTCCATTCTAGAGAGTCTTCAGAATTAACAATAAAGTTTTACCAAGGATAAGAATCCATTCTACACAGTTTCTTCTCTGCAGAAATGTAGTAAGCTAATTAGCCCTGTAACTGGCAATTAATCGTGCCAAAAGAAAGATCTTTTTAGAGGGCTCTTTGTAAATCCAAGAGAAAATACTAACCATAAGCCTCAGCGTTTTCCTACTCTATAACATCCATGAAAGCCTAACACTAAGTTCTTCAAAGATGTACAGTTTTGAACCTCCCCAATTATCAAAACAAAGTTTATTTCAATATTTAAGCGTGCAAGACCATTTGTTTCAGAAAACTTGCCTTAAAATTGAGCACGAGAGCCTAACCCACTGCAGACGTTAATATTTTTTTAAAAAAAGCAAATTATTATTTTGGAATAGATCAGGACAATAAGCATAGTGTATCTGATTTTAAGACATTTAAATATTTGGGGGATGGAGTCAAATTCTTATTAAAAAATGGGACTGTAATGATAATCTGCTTCAACTATAGAGTTCCCTGAAACGGGAACTCATTTTTTTCTTTTGTATTGAAATGTTTTTCCTAAGACTTGTAAATAAGTCATTGACTACTATTACACCTGTAGTCCTTTGCTGAAGAGACATATTACTGAGAATTAAAGGTGTCCAACCTTACCTGGTCTAGGAATATTCTTGCTAGTGGAGCACAGTCAGTGGATCTGATGAACCGCACGACATCCGCCACGCTCCACTTCAGGGGGTTACTGTCCAGCTGAAGCCTTTCAGCAACTTCAATTCTTATTTCCTTCATTCCCCACAACGAAACCAAATGGTATAAAAGCTATTTTATTCTACAAACATCTCTCTATATAAATTTGTTAATCCTTCAAGTTGGTATTTAAAATGGTTTTAGGCCATGATTTCTCCCGGCAAGGAGGGAAGAGGCTCACACACATTAAGTACTCAGGAAGTGTTGGGTCTTTTATAATGAAAAATACCAATGGGAAAGAATTTATCTCAAGGTTTTAGCACAAATAATTTAGACAATTTAAAAGAGAAAAGTACTTTTTAAATCTCTCATTTGTTCCCTGGTCTATTTCAACTCTCTGGTAGGGTGCTGAAGTGAACAGGCTGGTACTTCCGTGAGAGATGGCCTAACTATACATTGTCGGGAGAAGTCATTTGTTGCTTCTCTTCACAGGCCCTTTTTAAAAAGCAAACCATATATAAACTGTAACTTAACTGCCATTCTTCTAGTGTGTGTATATACACATATTATATAATGTACACACAGGAACATAGGAAATATACTAAAAAATGGCCTAACTAGAATGAAAAGAATAAGTAATGTATTTCTAAAAAACCATATATATAATGAAAAATATTTTTTTTAAAAAGCAGTTTTCCCTAAATGCAATGACAGCCCACAAACAAGCTAGCAGTGACTTTTTTTTTTTTTTTTTTAACTTCAAACAAGCAGCCACTCCCCATGATCTCCATATAACCCTTCACACACAAGTAAGTCACTGCATTTGGAATAACTTTAAGAGCGACCCAGGAAATTCCACTTAAGCCCGTATTGAAAGCAGTGGAATGCCACCATCACTAACAATTAGATTCTAGAAGGGGAAAACGGAAAAGCCTATCTTTACAGTGGGTACCTTTGGCGAAGGAGGTTTATTCTCATCATCAGAGAAGGAAAAAGTGCGCAGCTCCCTTTTCCTCCTGTCGCTGTCTGGAGGCAGCGACGTGGATATCTCACTCTGAGTGGGAGAGGAGGAGCATGACTTCTTCTCTGACATTTCGGACTCTTCCTGTAGCTCGTCCTGCTGCTCAGATATACTGCCCTCACTGAGGGAATCATCATCCCCTTCATCTGGGTCATCCTCATCTTCACCCCCACTTCCCTGGAGGAAAAGGAGAGAAGTCTCATTGAAATGCAGTTCCTGAGCCACGAATCATCTCCCACTGGCTAGAGATCTGAATTAGAAAGACCTGCAGGTATTCTGTCTCTGTCCACATTGTAAAGCAGTGGGCACCTGGCATCTAGACAGTACAGGTCTACACAGATCATACCTGGGGAGAGCCCGCTGGGGTATTATCAACAGATGTTGACGAGTGTTTCTTCTTATGAACAAAAACATTCTTCCGTCTCTTTCTCCTCTTACTGGCTTTCTTCAGGACACACGCTAAATTACTATGCCCACCAGGCGGCCTCCCGATTCTTTTATTTTTCTTCTTTCCGTAATAGTGTGCTAAATGTGGATGACAAAGAAAAATGAAGTCGCTTTATTATTTTCATGCATCTCAAAACCACAAGCGACTCTACTGGCACAGCAGAAAAACTGGCGTACTGAATTTTATTGAGGCCTAAACTCTATACAGTGGAATGAACAGATCTTAAGTGTAGAGTTTGATTAGTGCTGGCAAACACATAAATCCAAGGAATCCTCCCCTGTCCAGACAGAGAACATTTCCATCAACTTAGAAAGTCCCCTCATGCCCCTTCCCAGTCAGTCACTCCCCCTCACCAGAAGCAACCACTATTCTCATTTTTGTCACCACAGATTGGTCTTGCCTCATCTGTGGAACCACACAGGAGGTACTCGTAGGTACGGCTTCTTTCACTCAGCATAATGTTTCTGAGCTTCACCTGTGCTGTTGTGTGTATCAGGAGTTCATTCCTTTTTACTGAGGGGTAGTATTTCATGGTACGAATGTGCCAGTTTATCCACTGTCCTGTTGATGAGCACCTGGGCTGTTTCCAGGTGTTGACTGTTAATGAAGCTGTAATAAACATTCTCGTACAAGGCTTTTTTGTGGACCTGTTTTCACTTCCCTTGGATGAATACCTAGAAATGGAATTACTAGATCATAGGGTAGATGTATGGTTAACTTTTAAAGAAACTGCCAGTTTTCCAAAATGGTTATATGATTTTACACTCCAGCAATATATGAGAGACCTAGTTGCTCTATATCTTTGCCAACACATGGGACTGCCGGTCTTTCTCATTTTAGTTATTCTAGTGGGTATAGTATTTTTCATTATGATTTTAAGTTGCATTTCCCTGATCACTAATGATGCTACCTTTTCATGTGCTCACTGGCCGTTTGTATATCTGTATACTTTATTCAAGTCTGACTAATTTTTCAAAATGGCTTCATTTCTTTTTGTTATTTTTGTTTTTTTAGATATAGTTCACATAAAATTTTATGTAGACATAGATTAACGATTTTATGTCTACATCTGATGTACAATGCAGTGGTTTTGAGTACACTCACTAAGCTCGGCAACTATCACCACTATCTAATTCCTGAACGTTCTGTTACTCTTTTTATTATTGAGTTGTGAGCGTTGCTTGTTAGATGTATGTGTTGAGCATATTTTCTCCAAGTCTGTGTGTCTGGTCTTTCTCTCTTTTTTAAACAGTATCATCTTACAAGCAGAAGTTTTTTTAAATTTTGATGATGTTTAATTTACTCGTTTTTTTCCTTTTTGGTTAGTGTATTTTTGTGTCTTATCTAAGGAATATTTGCTACCCCAAGAACTTGAGGATATTGTCTTTGTTTTCTTCTAGAAGTCTTATAGTTTTCACTTTTACATTAGGCCATGATCCATCTAGAATGAATTTTTTTAGACAGGGTAAGGTAGAGCCAAGGTTTTTTGGTTTTGTTGTTTCAATTTGGATATCCAGTTGTACCAGTGCCATTTGCTGAAAAGATTCCCTTTTCCCACCAAATTTCTTTGACCCCCTTGTTGAAAATCACTTAACCATATAAGTGTGGCTATATTTCTGGACTCTCTATTCTGTTCCATTGCTTTATCTGACTATCCTTTCATAAATACCACCTTATTTTGATTATTGTAGATTTATGGTAAACCTTGAAATCAAACAGAATAAATCTTCCAACTTTATTCTTCTTTTTCAAGATTGTTTTGGCTATTCTAGATCATTTGCATTTTCATATAAATTTTAGGAATGGAGAGAATTACAAAAATGAAACACATATAGTCTAGCTCTGAGTTATGTATTAAAATAGTATCAAAATATAATTTCCTGCAAAAGAAAATTCTAAGGATGTAAATCTGTTTGACATCATTCAAATAACTCAAATAATTGAGAAAAATTATAAAGGCTCTCTTTCCTAAAATCTAGGCTAATTTGGACTATACCATTGTGAAAAATAAATTCAGACAAAAAACATAATAAAATCCACACATCTTTCAAAGGCTCAAAGTGGTGTACTTATTTAGGTACTTATATGAATAGTATATTGTACTTTTGCTCTTAATAACTGCAATTTGCTAAACTAAATGCTGAATGTGATAAAATAATGAGCGAAGACGATCCCTGTCCTTGGGAATTTACAATCCAATAAATATAAACAGAAACTAGAGGGTTAACTCTTACATGATTTTTTAATTCAAATACTGATTAGAAATCTCATCATGTGAAAGAGGACCCTGCTACTCAAAGTGTGGATCTTGGATCAGCAGCATCATCAGCATCTGGGAGCTTAGTGGCAATGCAGACCCTCAGGCCCCAGGCCCCCACAAACCTGATGAATCAGAACCGCCATTTCAACAAGACCCTCAGGTGATCACAGGCAAGATAAAGTTTTAAGAAGCAAAGAATTAGAGATCTCTAAATGAAATCTTTGAGATTTAACAAGGTTAAATCCCCTTCTGGATACATTCTTCCAGGTGACATCAGGACTTGTAGGATTCAAGAAAAGGATAGGATCAGAATTCAGTTTCTGGGTGACAAGGCTTTGACAAGGCTCCATATTAGAAACGTCATTCTATATGCCTAAATTTTTTTTCCTTTTGAGGTTTCACAAAGGAGAAGATAAACAATAAGACGAACAGGTATTGTTAGGACAGTTCGGAGTGGGGTTAAGCAACTACCTCCCCTCTCCTACTATTTACGCCTCCCTAGCCACCCTAGCTCCTTTGCGGCTCCTTACAGACACCAAGCACACTCCCGCCTCAGGCTGTGCCCTTGCTGCCCCCTACCCACAACACTTGCACCCAGAGGGCTGCACGGCTGGCCCTACTGCTTCCTTCAGGTTGTTACCTGTCAGGAAGACTTCTCTGACTACACGTATGAGCAGCACCCCGCCTCCTGGCCCTCCCTCGCTTTCCCACTCTGCTGCCTCACCTTGCTTCATTTTTCTCCAGAGTACTGATCTCTCTACATTTGTTCACTGGTTTCTTATCTGTTTCCTACATTAGAATGTATGCTCCATGAGGACAGGGATTTTGTTTTCTTTACTGCTGTATCCCACTGCTAGAACAACGGTAGCTCACAATGGGCAGGTAATAAATACCTGCCAAATGTATGAATGAATATACATAGCCTATTAGATGTTACAGACATTATATATACAGGTTATATATAGAAGCGGACAAACTAGGGCCTGTGGCCTGTTTTTGTATGGCCCTCAAGCTAAAAATTTTTTTTTTATTTTTATTTTTTAATTTTAAAGTTTTGTTAAAAAAAAATAATAAAACAAAGACTATGCAACAGAGACCATATGGCCCAAAGCCTAACATTTATTATCTAGCCCTTTAGGGAAAAGTTTGCCAAACTCTGCTATATATGAATATGTGCAAAATAACAAAAATTTCCAGGATGTAAGGTATGGTCAGCTGCTACAGTTAACAAATTTAAAAAGCATGACTCACTGTATTTGGTCTTTGTGAGTACAGAGCAGTTCTCAGAACATTTATCTAGAACCATCCGCGGCCCGAAGAGGTTAGGACAGCATTCCAGTTTGATACAGGTTTGCCGGCAGAATTCAGTCACCCGATCGGCTGTTTTCACTATCTCAACGGTAGCCCGATAACTCTTTCCTTTGTATCTGTCATTGGAAGAAATCAAATGCCAAGTTTACTGGGCTAGTGATTACTCAGAGAAAAACCATGCATATTAATAGACCTGAAAAGCTCTTTGTTTTTCAGTTTGAGGACCTGAAAAACAATCATTTATGCAAGTCAAATTTATAATCTGCTAAACTGTGACAAATAAAGAATAGAAATTAGCAAAATAAGGTTCCTGCTTTCTGTTCCTAAAGTTAAGGTTTTCAAACAGTAACTTCTCCACTAGCTATTACTGAAAGAAAGGTGCCTCTTCATTGCGTTTTTCTTTACCCTAGGGCAGCCTGCCTCAGGGTGGGGTTCACAGACCCCCAGCCTAGCAACCGGCATCTGTCTGTCTGACACTATCAGGTTAGAAAGCAAGAGTGAATGATTACCAACTTCCATTGTAATATGGAAGAGTAATTTTATGTCTCTTGAATCTAATAAAAAATCATGCTTGTATTTTGCATTTCATATTTCTAGAATTCATTTTTAGCATATTTTATCGAAGTATTGGTCCACAACAGGATGAAAATTTACAAAAGAAAAGAAACCTGGTCCTTCATCACAGCTAAATGAAGAAGCACTGCCCTAGAGAATGTAAGTATTCTAGTATTACCCACAGGAGAACAGATTCTGTAACCTGTTAAAGACGAGTAAGAATACAGAGGAGAGTAGCCCACTCACTTGGCTTTTAGGACTTCCCCACATCCATGCCACACAGAGTCCTTGTCCAGCTGCAGCTCCCGAAGGACGCGACTGGGTTTGTAGGCTGCATTGATAAGTAAAGTGAGGACCTGAGCTCCGTTTTTAAAGCAGACATACGGGTTGGGAAGGAGAGAAAAAGACCATTAGAACCACAGCACTCTTGCCAACTGTTAGAATGTTAGGGCTACTTAGGAGATTCATTCATTCTAGTCATTTTAGTTAACAAATATTAACAAACTAATAATAACAAAGATATAACAGCTGCCCAAAGATGCAAATAAGATAACTTGAGCCCCTCTTAAATAAGCATTCAAAACAGCATCGTAAGAAAGAAACAGGCACCATGGATTTCCAGTTACTCCAGCACATGATTCCAAGGCCTTTTCCAGTCACGGTACACACAGTCAATTATAGTTGCTTGGGACACTGCGTAGACGGCTGAGCCTCCCTGTGGCTGCAGTCTGGCCCAGAAGCTCTGGCTGCCCCAGACCCTGCCTTGCCACCCTGAGGTCTTCCTCACATCGTTACCCTCAGTACAGCCCACTGGCTGGGAAGCTTTGCGAGTCCAGCAGGTGTGTAGCTTTATCATGGCCCTGGGTTAATGCCCCACCACCTCTTGGTCTTAGACTTATCTCCCATTCCCTCCTGTAGTGTTCTCATGTGGTTTCTGACAGAAGACCTTTCTATACTGACAGAGGTGACCCTGTAACGTGAAGAACCGCTTAGGTCAATGTCCCCTAGGCAGTAAAGACAATCACATGCACAGTGCACTGTCTAATACGTGAGAAAAGTTAGTAACTTCTGATAAAACCTAGAGTTGTCACACAGCATGCGGATCCCTGTATGAATGAGTCTATGAGACTGTTGTGAATTTCTCACATTCTTTTGTTCTAGGCCAGAACCTTACCTCTCTGAGGACCAGAACACAGTTCCCAGGTCCCACACATTGAGGCAGCTCAGCGATTCTTCCTTTGTTAAGATATGGCCCTGAGAAGCAACGGTGGTTGAAGTATATCTTTGGACAGCAATATTTTCCGTTAATCATAACTGGGAAATGAAGAGAAACAAATATTCAGAACAGAGTCATTTTCCACTCCATGTTTGCAAAGTTGGATTACTGGGAAAAAACCAACCATATCTACCCATTACATAAAGTCTGAGAGTGCCCTTGAAATATACTTACAATAACTCTATTATAGGGTTTATCACTCTGCTGAAATCAAGATTATGTCCTGAATTTCATCCCGATTAACTCCTGGGTTAATGTTACATTGTTCCAGAGCCCTATACGTCTATCAATAAAGGAAGTGGAGGATTTACTTCAAGGACCCATGATGGCTCCCGGCAATCAGTGATTGCTCGGCCTTCAAAAACCAACTATTCAATAATCCACTGTGGAATATTTCTAGGGACTGATGGCAAATATTATCCAGAACTACAGTCTGTCTCCTTCTAACCACCAAGGTAATATGTTGGCAGCCTTCGATGCTGCAGGCGCCCTCCTATCTCTGGGATTCCTCAGGGGGCTACAAGTGTACTGTGACCATGTCTCTAAGTTCTTCTAGTGCTCTGGAGTGTAACTAGCCTAGAGACCCCTCTCCTCAACGACTTTGGGCTTAAGTAACCTTTAATTCTACTTGTTCAACCTGTTTCTAGTTAGATCACTCTCCTTGTTAGAGAAGTAGATAACCTTGCAAATAATAACTGAGGACTGCTTTCCCCTACCACTTCAGAACATTACAATTTTTACCCAATACCTTTTTTCCCCTCCAAACACAGCTTTAAAATGTCTTTGCCTTTACTATCTATAGCATTTTTCATAAACTTCTGCTTACGTTGAACTTTTGTCTTTCTTACAGGCTTCTGTCATCAGGCTACGTAGACCTTATACTAATGTACTTTTGAACACTGAGCTCATCAGAGAACTCCATGCTGTACTTTCTTCAAGAACTACCTCCTTCTCCCTTCTCTAGAGCTACACTGTCCAATAAGGTAGCTACTAGTCACATAAAAAAACTTGTTGCCACTGAGTCAATTCCAGCTCATGGTGATGTCAGGTATTACGGAGTAGAACTGCTCCACAGGGTCTTGGCTGTAATCTTTACAGAAGTAGGTTGCCAGGCCTTTCTTCTGCAGCACCACTGGGTGGGTTCGAATCACCAGTCTTTAGGTTAGCAGTCTAGTGCAAACTGCTTGTACCACTCAGGGACCTACTAGTCACATAGGGCTGTTTAAATTTAAAGGTAAATAAAATTAAATAAAAAATTTAGCTTCTTAGTTACACTAGTCAGATATCAAGTGCTCCATAGCTATGTGTGGCTAGTGGCTGCTGTATTGGACAGTGCGGATATAGAACATTCCCATCATTATGGAGAGTTCTATTGTAGGCAATGCTCTAGAGGGTATTTTAAAGTAACAAAATCTGAAACAGAGTTCTAGATTATGCTGAACCATCTCAAACATTTGGCACATGTGGACCATCATTTTGCAGAAATTTTTTAAAAAAGATTCATTACAACTTGGGGGAATTTTTATTGAAGTATAGTATATCATATATACATATATATATCTATGAAAGTTTACAAATCATCAGTGCACAGCCAGATAAATCTTCAAACTGAATACAACGATGTCAGTAGCACCCAGATCAACAAACAGTGTATTATCAGAAGCACCCTTTCCCCCAAAAGGTAAAAGCATAGATTAGTTTTGCCTGTTCTTGAACTTCAGATAAACGAGATCACACAGTATGTACTCTCTGGTGTCTGGCATCTCTCGCTCAGTATTATATTTATGAGATTCACCCATGTTGATGTGTATAGCTGTAGTTACTTCATTCTTATCGCTGAGCTCATCTCACTGCCTGAGCCAGGATGCTAAGCATTACACGACCAGCAAGGGGAAGGCAAGAGAAGTCCCAGGGCAAGACCGCTGGGCCCATGCCTTGGGCCTCCAGCAAGGCTCCCTGTCTCACTTTACCAGGCAATGCCTGGGACAATCTGCTTTTCCAATGCCTTTTTCTTAATTGTGAAACATACATAAAAAGTTGTGTATGTCATGAAAAGGGTTTAAAGAAAATAAACATCCTCCTCTCAACCATCAGCTTCAGAAAGAGCACTGCCTGGAAAGCCTCAAGTTCTTTATCTAACTCAGGGATGACAACACGGACTTCTAGAGCCCAGGCACACAATAGGTGATCAGTAAAGAACAGCTACGATTATTACAAATGGACAGAAACATCAGCTTAGAGATGACTGTTAAACTAAATGCACCTTAGACAGTTTTAATTCTTTTTTTTTTTTTTTCAGTAGTAAGTGGAATTTAATCAACAGAGCACCCTCCTGAAAACACTGGGATGTGCTATTAAAATCAGTTGTCATTAATTCTGTTCTGTAGCCAGAAGCTAAATGAAAATAAAGCAATTGGCTTTAATTGACTCTATTGGCAAAGATGGCCTGAAAATTATGTTGCTTAACACTGTAATTTTTTTTTTTTAATTGTACTTCAGGTGAAGCCTTACAGAACAAATAGTTTCTCATGAAACAGTAGTACACATACTGTTTTATGACATTGGTTAACAACCCCACAACATGTCAACCCTCTAACTTCTCAACCTTTTTTTCTGGTGAAAATATACATAGCCAAAGATACACCTTTTCAAAAATTTCTACATGCACAGTTCAGTGACATTGACTACGCTCTTCCAATTGTGCTGCTATTCTCACTAAAGATGAAGGCTTACAGAACAAAATAGTTTCTCATTTAACAGTTACTACACATGTTGCCCTATGACAATGGTTAACAATCTCACAACACATCAACAATATCCTTACTCAAACCTGGGTTCCCTATCACCAGCTTCCTTGTCCCCTTCTGCCTTCTGGCCCTTGTCACTGGACTACTGTACCTCATTAGTCCCATTTGGTTTTACAGGGCTGTCCACTCCCAGGCTGAAAGGTGAACCTCGGAGATAACTTCACCACTGAGCTAAAAGGGTGTCTGGGGGCCATACTCTCGGGGTTTCTCCAGTCTCCTTTAGGCCAGTAAATCTGGTCTTTTTTTTTTGTGAGTTAGAATTATGTTCTACATCCTTCTCCAGCTCTGTCCAGAACCCTCTGTTGTGATCCTGGTCAGAGCAATCAGTGATGGTAGCCGGGCACCATCTAGCTGTACTGGACTCAGTCCGGTGCAGGCCTTGGTAGCTGTGGACCATTAGTCCTTCGGACTAATCTTTTTCTCGTATCCTGTTCTCTTCATTCTCCCTTGCTCCCGAAGGGATGAGACCAGTGGAGTATCTTAGATGGCCACTCACAGGCTTTTAAGACCCCAGACACTACTCACCAAGGTAGAATGTAGAACACTGTCTTTATAAACTGTGTTATGCCAATTGAGCTAGATGTTCCCCGAGACCATGGTCCCCACAGCCCTCCGCCCAGCAATTCAGTCCTTCAGGGAGTTTGGATGTGTCTATGGGGCTTCCATGACCTTTCCTTGTACAAGTTGTGCTAGTTTCCCCTGTACTGTGTACAGACAGTTTTAATTCTTTAAGGGGCCCCGGTGGCACAACGGTCAAGCACTTGATTGCTAACTGAAAGGTTGGTGGTCCAAACCCACCCAACCTGCTCTGCAGGAGAAAGACCTGGCAATCTGCTCCGTAAGGATTACAGCCTAGAAAACCCTATGGGGCATTCTACTTTGTCACACTGGGTCACTATGAGTTGAGAATCGACTCTGCGGCACCTAACAACACGGGTGCTCTTTACTGTAAGATTACATATGCTTATACCTGAGTCTGCGGAGTTCAGCTCCTGATTCTTCAGGCCCTCATGGACAGCCCTCGAGGATGGGATTCTGGGTCAAGAAAACACAGCAGAATAGTGAGATAATACTCAAAGTGAGTAAAGCACGAAGGCTAGTTCTTTTCAAATCTAAGAAGAAAAGAAATATGACAGATTGAAAAATCTATAATAATGGAAGGTACTTCCTTACTCCACATACAGGGTCTGAGGAGCCAACAGACAGTCTGTAGACAGTATTGTGATACTACATGTTCAAATGAACTTTATTTTCATTCATGTGAGCAATAAATTTATATTTATAGTCTTTCTTGTGGGATTCTTAAACCACAAGTAAACTATTCATTTTTTCAATAGTCATAAAATGGAACATCTTCTTCCATCAGTTTTAAAAATAAATTATGTTATGAAAACCAGAGACTAAAAAAGGCTAATTTTTTTTTTTTTTTTTTTTTAAGAATGCTTCCTGACTATCCTTTGGATTAATCTGGACAAATAAGTCAAGGAAAAATCTAAGGTCAGTTTTTTTGGTCAATTTTTTGTCTAACTTCTTGGAACCCTGGTGGCTTAGTGGTTAAGCGCTAGCCGAAAGGTTGGTAGTTCGAACCCACTAGCCACTCCGTGGGAGAAAGATGTAGCAGTCTACTTCTGTAAAGATTACAGCCTTGGAAACCCTACGGGGCAGTTCTACTCTGTCCAATAGGGTCGCCATGAGTCGGAATTGACTCGACGGCAGAGGGTCTAACTTCTCTATCATATTTAGGCCGAGAGAACTCTGGCCTTTCTGTCCATTGCTGTTGGCAGTTTCATGACTCAGAAAGCTACAAAGGCAGCTACAGAGTATATAGAAATCAAAACGCAAATGTTTAAACACACACATGTATATACAGAAACCTGCGTATTTTTAAGGTTTGAAGGCACCACTTATTAACTGCTTCTCAGAGCGGCATGTGGAGGTATGCTGAGACACAAAGCCACTCCTTTGCGCGTGTCTTCTCTTTTAGATTGCTGTCTTCTACCTCAAGTTTTTTTCACTGCGACAAATCATATCCTGATTTACAACTTTTGCTTTCACTTAACAAACACCAGCATGGGGACTTTTATTCTCTTCCCTTTTATTCAAATGCCTTCAGGCTCTAAAAGAAAAAGGAAACTCAATTGGGGGAACATCTGACGAATGCATTTTACCCTTTTGTATATAATGACATTTTAGAAAGTGCATACACTGTAAGGGGAAGTGTATAAACTATCAAAAGTAAAATTAAAGAATTAGGCTTCCATCTGAGAAAATAACAGATGAAGAAATATACTCTCTGAAACAGTTATTTCTCTTTCTAGATATTCTAACTTTCAAATGTCAAACATACTATTACATTACTTACTGTTTTTCTGGTGGAACCACTGCAATTTTCCTCTGTTTATATACTGTAGGAAGAAAACAAAAGTATAAATGCCAAGAAAAATAACAATACAAAGGAAAAGTTACATATGCATTAAGCTTACATTAGCATATTTAAAACCTAGTTCTGTATATATTTAACTATTGTTGTTAGTTGCTGTCGAGTTGATTCCAACTCACGGTGACTCCCTGTGTGCAGAGTAGAACTGCTCCATAGGGTTTTCAAGGCTGGGACCTTTTGGAAGCAGATGGCCAGGCCTGTCTTCCAAGGCACCTCTGGGTGGGTTCGCACTGCTAACCCTTTAGCTAATCATCTAGCGCTTAACTGTCTGTGCCACCCAGGACTCCATATTTAACTAGCGAGTACTATAAATTAGTGGCGTGTGAATATCTAGACTAAGCACATTTTCTGGGTAGGAGTCTTTATACAAAGAGCAAATCTAGTATTTCCAAGGCTCCCTGGGTCAGTCCACTGCTATGAATATTCTGTAAGCAGGAATAAATATTCAAAAGAAAAACTAATACAATGTTCATAGGGCCTGGAAGATCCCCTTTTGTTTTCTTTAAGGGAAGCAGAGGATGGCATGCATGCTGAATTTGGTGCCCAAAGGTACAGTATGCTCACAGGAGTCCCTGCTGGCATCTGAATGCAACCGCATGAGTGCGAACTGCCCAACTGAGCCCTACCCACGTTCCTAACCAACACAGTTGGAACGAAGTACTGATACATGCTACAGTATGGGTGAGCCTTGAAACATTATGCTAAGCGAAAGATGCCAGCCACGAAAGACTACACACTGTATGATTCCATCTATACGAACGTCCAGAACAGGCAAGTCTAAAGAGGCAGGAAGTACATTAGTGGTTGCCTCGGAGTACAGGAGAGGGGAGTGGAGGAGAAAGGTGGTGATTCCTAATGGATGCAGGGTTTCTTCTTGGGGTGGTAGAAAATGTTTTAAAATTAGACAGTGGTAATGGTTGCACAACTCTGTGAATGTACTAGAAACTCTACTGAATTGTATACTTTAAAAGAGCAGATTTTATGGTATGTAAGTTATATCTCAATAAAGTTGTTTTATGGGATGGGACGTCACTTCCAAGATTAGATTTTCAAAAGACTCAGGCTTGCATCTTGCTCAACATCTCTTGCTCTCTCGCTTGCTCTCCCTAAGGGAAGTCAGCTGCCATGCTGTGAGGGGCCCTATGGAGAGGCCCACATGGCAAGGAACCGTAGGAAGCCTCCGCCGACAGTTAGCGAGGAACTGAGGCCCTCAGTCCAACACTCAGGATGAACTGACTCTTGCCAGCAGCACCTGAGTAAGCCTCCCCTAGTAGGGCCTGGAGATAACCCCAGCCTTGCCTGACGCCTTGACTGCACTTTGGGAGCGTCCTGGATCCAAAGGACCCAGCTAAGCTGCACGCAGATTTCTGACCCACAGAAACTGTAAGATAATAAATGCTTGATGCAGTACATAATTTCCTACGTAGGAAAAGATAACCAGAACATCATTTTGTTCCTCTGAAGTGTCTGGATTCATCCTAAGTGGTAGCAGCGACACAACAAATTATTTAACAATCAATCATCTGACCGAGAAATAGCTGGATACCTCGTGCTCGGCGGGGAGCGCTGAGGGGGTGGCCGTTGGTTTCACACCAGCCCAAAGGAAATATATCCATGGACTCCACACTCACAATACACTCAGGTATGGGCTTCTTAGAACCTGTTGCAATTTTAAAAAATAAATATATACATATTTTTAGACAATCAAATCAACTTCTTCATAACCTACTTCAGAGACAACATTCTACCGCTGCAATAATACAGACACAGAGTCTCGAGTAGTTTCCTTTCACACAGAAGTCTAACTTTTTCTTGTGTGATAAGTATGAAGGAAAAACAGTAAAGTGTCCCCCGAGAGTACTGATACAAGGACCTAAATGGGTAGTAAGTATACAGGGTGACCATTAGCCAGGGAACAGCAAATAAACTACAGAACTGGCATCATTCAGACAGTCAACAAACATCATAGTCAATTCCTTGAAATAACTGGAAACCAAAAGGCAAAAGTGACCATTCTACTTGATGAGAACATTAGTTCTGGTCCTCCGGGAATAAGCCAGAAAGTAGACCAGTGAATTCAAATCAGGCAGTGATGCATGCAAGTTGCTCAGCAGCGGCTGCATAAAAGTGTACATCCAATATTGTCCTTGACATCTGTATTAAATACCAGTTCTACAAATCAGGAACAGGAGATGCCCTCTCAGAGTCTGGCCATTTGGCAGCAGGATCAGAAAGGAAGCCAGGCCACACGCAGTCACTGCAGCATGGAGTACTCACACAGCGGCTTCCGTCCACAAACCTGTCCAATCACTGACCATCACTTTTAGTATAACACATCATTTCTACTTTACACACTTTTGGTTCTATTGGTCTGGGGGTAACCAAAATATCATCTCTTGAATAAGCTAGGTACTATTGCTCATGTGCATATATTCTGGTCACATCAAAATATATGCTGTTCGACTTGTACTTCCTCTTTCAACAAAATAGGGGAATCTCTAGTGAAGGCTTTTTATTCACATTCATTTCCTAAAATTTGAAAATCAAGGGCAGGAAAATAAATTTTTAGCTTAGCATCTTGCATAGCAAATTAGAAGGCGCTTAACAAGACCCCTATTCAGCTAACTCAGTAAGTTTAACATGCCACATTACAGAAGTAGACAGGAAAAGCGAAGGAGGGGGTCACAGGAAGCCTTCTTGAGGGGCTGCCGCCTACCTTCCAGCTGGAGCCACAGGTAGGCGCCTCTCACTGCGGTGATGGTGGCAATGCACACTTCTTCGGGCAGAAGAGGGTTCACTGCCTCAAGCTTCATGTTCTCCTTAAATTCATGCTCAGGAACTGACTAGAATGTAAACGAATCAGATGAGATACACACTCAGTATTAACTCACACGCTCAGCTGGGAGACCTTTTGCAAGTAGTGTCTCACACACGAAATTCACACTTTAAAGTTATAGTTTTATTTTGTTTTGTTTCTTAATGAAACAAAGGAAAAATGTCTGTCTCCCTTGGTGTTACAGGCAGTATGGTTTTTGAGTTTAGATATGCCTGCATTATTGTCAGCTATGGGACCCTGGACAAACTGTATAACCTCTTTTTGCCTCAGTCGTCTGTCAGATGAAGTAGAAAACACCTATCTCACTGGGCTGTTATGAGGTTTAAATGGAATAAGGTTCCTAAGGCTCTGTGCTCTGAATTAAGTGGCTTTCAACCACTGTTAGTTCACTTCCCCTTCCCTAAAGGGCCCTATTCTACAATAAACTGCCTAGTGTCTACTTGTATGTGTATCATGAAAGGCATTCAGGATAAATAATCCTTATGAACAGGGAGAAAGGGTCCTTTAAAACGTATGTTTAAAAAGTTTGCAGCTTCTGGATCAAGATGGAGAAATGAAGATCTGTATCTGATTGTTCTCTCTTCTGACAACCTAGTTTTTTGCTTGTTTTTTTGTTTTTTTTAAGACATAAACCCACCGGATAGATATAACAGGAGATAATGACATTTCATAAGCTAAAATTTATCGCAGAGTCTGGTAGTAACCAACTTAGCCGATCAAAGACAGGTGAATCTAAGCTGGCAGTGAGGAAAGGTAAGAGCTGACAGTACCAAGCCCTAGGAAACTGGAGGTGCAGGAGAAATAGTCAGAGTAAGGATTTACTGAAACATTTAGGAAGCACTTAGATCATGCCATCACTTCTCCACCCCACACCCCAGGGCAACTGTCCCTTCCCCTCCACTACAGTAGGTGAAATTTATCCTCTAGGAGGTAAAACACAAGATCCCTGGGCAAGGAGACATGAGGAACTGTTGAGGGCATACATGAAGTACCAAAAACAGAGGTTAACATACGGAATGCTGGGCTGCCCAGCCCTTAGCTCCTACTTAGCCACTACAACTCCAGCAGCCAGGCCTCTCCCCTCCAGGCAGGGGACTGAAGAGGCTTCTTGTGATAATCTGATCAGCCCAAGAGAAACACATAAAGATATGGATTTAGGTTTCCCCAACAAACGGCCAACCAAATCCCACCCTACAAGGAAGTTCACTGTTGACAAGCCCCGCCCACATGCTCAGAGTTTCCAGTCAGCTTTTAGTTGTTGTTAAGTTCTCCGTTCTTTAACCAAGGATCACCAGACATCTAAGGTTATGAAAGCTAAAAACCAAAACCGACAAAACAAGCAACTTGGAGAAAGCAGAGATCATGCAAAAAGAAAACTTCCTAAAACGGGAAAGCAAAAAAAACCCAAACCCGTTACTGTCAAGTCGATGTCGACTCATAGCTACCCTATAGGACAGAGTGGAACTGCCCCATAGGGTTTCCAAAGAGCAGCTGGTGGATTTGAACTGCCAACCTTTTGGTTAGCAGCCAAGCTCTTAACCACTGCGCCACCGGGGCTCCCCTAAAAGGGGAGGAGGTGTTTCATTAACATCCTCAGAGAGATAAGAAAAACAAATGCATCCTTTAAACAATAACAGCATGCTAGTAAAAATACAGAAATATTCAGAAAAAAATAGTTCTGGAAAATAAAAAACCTGCTATCAAAAACTCAAAACAAGGGTTGAAAGATAGTTTAGGAAATCTTTCAGAAAGCAAAGCAAAAAGACTAAGAAACAAAACAGGAGGAAAAAGACAAAAGAAGTAGAGGCTTGATCCAGAGGATCAACATCCAAATAACAGGCATTCCAGAAAGGTAGGCAAGAAATGGAGGGAAGGAAATTAAAGAAGTGATTCGTGAAAATGTCCCAGCATAGAAGGCCTGGGACACTCAGTGCCCCCTGAGAACCCAGCACACGGGATGAAAACAGGCCCACATCAAGACTCGTCACTGTGAACATGGTGACAGAGAGGTTCTACAACCTTCCAGGGAGGGAGAATAAGAAAGTAGATCTACAAACGATAAAGAGTAAAGATGGCTTTGAATTTCTCGACAGCAACACTGGCAAGCAGATCAATGCTTTCAAAATTTGAAATAAAATAACTTCCAACCTAAAATTTCCATACTGAGCCAAACTATCAGTCAAGTTAGTAGAATAAAGCCATTTACCTCCCTTGTGTCCTGTCACAGAAAGCTACTGAAAGATGGGATCCACCAAAACAAAGGAGAAACCAAGAAAGAGGAGGCCATGAGATATATGAAACAGGAACCCCAAATCATAAGAAAGGGGAGAAGGAATTCCTCGGGTGACAGTGAAGGACAGTCACAGGAGTAAACCTACATGACAAGCCTAGAGAACAACCAGACCAGAGAGAGAGGGAATGGAGGGGGCTAGAAGGGATGTCTCTAAGAAAAATGTGAGAAACGACAGATTCCTGATGTGCTTGCCTCTGTGGAAAACAGTAATGAGAGGTTACTGGGACGTGTGGAAAGAACTAACAATCGACTCAAAGAAAATTACGTAAATGAAAAGCAAAGCAATTATTAACTTCAGGACACATAAAAAGGAAACATAACCATCAAATAGTGCTCAGCTGTGAATAATATTTGAATGCGTATAATAATGTAAACAGTCAATCTAGATCTAACCAAAAATTGTAATAGAACTCTAACAGGAAGGAGAGGTAGTTAAGGCAGAGGGGAAAGATAATGTAAAATAGCTAAATTCTCACCACAATACAGAACCAACCTAAAATTAATGACTCAAAACATAGCAGCATATTATTTAGAAAATGAAGAAGTATAAATACCAGAATTATAGTGAGAAGAAGAGAAAGTTGTTACTTATGGGAAGGGAAAAGTGTGGGGGGTGGGAGGGGAGAACAGTGGAGAGGGATAGGACCATTTTTTCTCCACTTAATATTTCAACATTTTTCCATATCACTGAACCATCAACAATAATTTTAACTAAAATTTCAAATTCATATGATTTCAGCTAATAAGAAACTTTTAAAACAGATTAACTTTTACAGTAAATGCACTCTTCTTTGAACCATTTTATTATAACCAATAAGGTGCTACTTTGGGTTGAGTGAAATGATGAACTTAATCGTAATGCTCATAAAAAGCAAGGGAAGCACGACGGTCACCAGCAGCCCAAGACAGCGGCTGTGAGGGGACAGGGGCTCTCACCGAAGGGAAGCACCTCTGGGGAGCAGCTTCAGCACCACACTGTTTGAGGTAGTCGGCCCAGTCAAAGTCCTGGCTCGGGTAGCCTAGATGGGACGAAAGAACAGTGATTCACACCACACGTGCCTATAGGACAGAGTAGAACTGCCCCATAGGGTTTCCAAGGCTGTAATCTTTACGGCAGCAGATTGCCAGGTCTTTTCTCCTTCTAAGCAGCCAGGTAGGTTTGAACTGCTGACCTTTCGGTTAGCACCTCAGTGCTTAACCACTGCATTACCAGGGCTCCTTAGAGGGAGAAAGGCACCCTATAAATCCAAAGCATTGATAGTTTTATAAAATAGAGCAACTCTGGTCAAACTATAACAGTACAACAAAATTCTCTGGATAAATTTTAAAACTTTCAAGTGTCAAACAAGGTACCTATTTTGAGCAATATTTTATATGGTTAGTTTCTGACAATTTACCAGAACAACTTTAGATAGTACAACTGGATTTGACTTACACGTATAAATTCAGTCTTATGATCAATTCTATTATGACTTCGGCTTTGAAGGAAAAGAGGTAGTAAATAATCTACAGTACTTTTTAATCAACAAAAACTATTTTTCTTTAATAAAGATATTTCCTTCAACATTTGAGTTGATACAATTCTCTTAGCTGAAAGGCTGTTCATTTTGTTTTCAGATTCATGTTCTATAGAAGCTCAGTGTTCTTAAAACCTGAATCATGAAGTCATTTCAGAAAAAGGTTTGAGTTTAACTCTTGGCTTAAGTCTGTGAGGTTCTTGAGAGAGACACCTCCGATCTGACGCCCTTCCTCAGCACTACTGTGTGTGAGGAGCTGGGCCCACTCCACTGTGTCTGAGCTGCGCTCTGGCCCTGCAGAGCTTACGTGCTCACAGAGTGGGCCACTCAAGACTCTGACACCCTGCAGCCAAAAAGCCCCTGCAATCACCTTCCCTGCCCAGCTCAAACTAGCACCATGTTCTCCCTCTGGCCCCACCTCAATTCCTGACAGTAAATTATCTGTGATTTTTCACTTACATAATGCTAAAACCTTCAGTATCTTTAACGACTGTTTTTTCTTTTCACATAAAGGCAGCAAGCAGGATAAAGAACTTGGGATGGATGTCCAGAGCCTTCCTGCAGAGCAAGAACTTCCTCCTGTAGGTGTCACCCCCTCAGCCCCCGCTCTGTTCACTGACGGAGGAGCCTGAGATGTTCTGTTTTCCCCTACTCACTCCTTGAAGGAACAGACTGTGTTATACTCGTTTTTGTCTCCCCAGTGACAAGCCCAATGCCTGGCTCACAGTGAGCACTCAGTAAATGTTTGCTCAATGCATGAAGGCTAAATTAGCAGGCAGAAGGTCCTGCAGTTTATGACCCCCTGTTAACACAAAAGAGCACCTTCCAGCCCAGTGGTCCAGCAGGCACCATTAAGAAAGTGAAGCTGTGCTTTACCAACAGCCTCATAATATAATGTACGTGGATTGTCAATCAAATGATCGGATTTGCTGATACAAAAATCAGATACACATCTGACACTTTAAATTTTCCAGATACTTTTAAGTTAAAAAATATAAAAAATTTCAATGAAGCTCAACTAAGTTATATTTAAGAGCCTTGACTACAGGGTCTAGTATTATATTTTGCAAAATTGCAAACACCAGGAAAAGGAGCCATTACCTCCCTACTTACAGCCTCTCTGAGTCCTACTCTTGTCCATAAACCTCCCTCTGAAGCCTGAAGGGTCTCCTTCTATGATGAGGTGAGGAAACCTAAAAAGGATCAATAATCTGCCTCTAGCTCCGGCCCTAATGCCTCTTCTCATGAGCCAGCTCCCAACACGCACTGTGCATCCTACCCCACCCACCTGTGACCTCCCAAGAGGCTCCAGATGGAATGAACTAAAGAACCAGCACAGAACTCCAGGCTTGAAGCTGGCATTTCAGGTTTTACGATGATGTATTTGTCAAGGTAGGAGAATTGAACCCACTTTATGTAACAGTGTTTTAGCCTGACATATAACTTTTAAATATGTAAGTATACGGAGTCTGAGTCTTCACTTATACTTCTCAGCCTCCAAAAATGTTAGTGGTAGGCTGGGGTATGAGGCAAGAGAGGACAAAAGAGCCGGGTAATTCCATCTGGTAAATCTTGTTTCAGGGAAGAGTTCCCAATGGACAATTCAGACAAGAACTAGAAACGCACCAGGAGGGGGGCTGATGTGTAAACCATTCTTCAGACTCCACTGCACGGGGAAAATACCAGGACTGTCGCCGTGGCACACAAAAGACCGCCGGGCGTGAGTCTCTGGTCGCAAATCATCCATTTCCACCAGGAAGTACTTCTCATCAAAAACCTGTGCAGAGAATTTCACAGATGAAACAAACAAAGCGTTTTATGTACATGTGTGTAAATATATGTCTCTTCATTGGCATAGCCAGGCAGGTTACAAAAGTTCATGACTACACTGGGTACTAATAATAATACTAAGCACTCAATAAATGTTAGCTCTGTGTCAGGTACTGTTTTAATTAAATGCTTTTCATGTTATTAATTTAATTTTAATCTTCTTAACAATCTAATAATGTAGGTACCATTATCAATCTCATTTTGCAGGTAAAGAAACTGAGTTTAAAGAGAGGTTAAATAGCTTGCCCAAGGTTACATGGTCAGGAAGAAACAGAACCTGGACTCAAACCCAAAGATTTAGTTTAAGCTTGGTGACTGGTTGGCTATGCTAGTCCGTTCGTTTTTCACATCCGAGCCCAGCTTCAAAAGCCAAAGAGAGGGTTATAATGAGCCTCTTCTGCCTCCTTACCACCCCACATCCCCTAAGACCCCACACATGGCCTTCTGACCCCACTTGCAAGTTCAGCATCCCTCCTTGCTCTGAGAACAATCTTCTCTCAAAGTAAAGAAAAGTTAAGTCTCCACAGGCCAGACAACAGCTTCCAGACAACGATTCCTCTAAGTGTACTCTGACCTTCGGTTCTACTGTCAGTAAATGGGCTTCTGCTCGAGCCCTAAACTGAACTCCACTTCTTTATGCTTCAGTTCTAGTAACTGAATATCTGGGCCTTGACAACCTGCCCAGTTCTTATGGTGACTACTGACTGGACACACTGCCTTCCTTTTGTCAGTCTTCTAAAAGACGGAAGTCTGAATCCAGACTATCTGGCTGGAGCCGTCCTACCACCAGATCTTCTGACACTTACTGCCTGCTCCTCTAGGCTCAGCTGAGCCCTGCCCCGGGTCGGACACTGATGACACTGCCGGCCTCCATATTTTTCAAATCCTGTGGCCTACCTGCTGGTTAAACCTCCTCCAGGTATGTGCTCCTAGGCCTGCCCTAAAGAACGCACCCCACCGCTAGTGCCCAGGTCCTAGTCCCCATTTTACCTTAATAACAGTCGCAGGAGAGATCCCAAAAGGAGCCCAGGGGTCCACAGCTTCTAATTTCATGTTTACAGAGAAAGCATGAGTGCCAATCACTTGTTTGTCCTGAAATGCAAACACCAAGATGGGATAAAACTACAGTATTTTCACAATAATTTTATACTCAGATATAGCTGAATACGACTCTAGTTAATGAAAATGGTTGAACTGTGCAGCTTCTGGTAAATAATCTAATCCTGTCATTTTCTTCTCTGGAAAAAACTCTTCAGGAAAAAAAAAACACACAGAAAAAGTCTGTGAAAGTCCTCCTACACGCTACATTTTGAACACAAGGGGGATGGGGAGGAAAAAACAAATCTATTTTATAACAAGTTACGGCTATGTCGTCAAGAGTGGAAAGGAAAAGGTTCAAAATGCTTTACGGGTACTGTTAGCGGAATAAAAAGCTGACCATCACTTCAGCCTGAAAGCCCCCTCCCTCCTCCAGAGGCCCCAGAACTCTCACTTCTCTCTTCTCCCCACATTGCTTCACTCTACTGTGAGGGGATAAACACCAGCCTATCACGTTTTGTTCTGACCTTAAATAAGTAAGACGGTAATGGCTCTTCCTCTTCCTCTCTCACTTTGGCCACGATCTCTTGCCACTCGGCTTCCTTTTTCAGATGTCTGATGGCTTTAGCAAAACAAGGCAGGATGCTTTAGATGATGAGAAAACCTACGCTCTTCTCAAGCTCTCTGAGAGCGCCCACATAAGCAAACATAGTCACTCTCCACCGGGAAAAGGAAAGGGCTCGAGTCCATTTACAGCTATCTTCACTCAAAGGACCTGCGCCATAACCTCGTACTGTCTGCTCTGGTCAGAGCCCCGGAGACCGAGTTTTGTGAAAACGCCTTACAGCAAGATCGTAAGGATTGCTGTAGTCCGTAAAATAATAGAACACAAAATCCCAGTTGGGACCCATGATGATAATGCAAATTGATTTAAAAAAATAACCCGAGTTACATATTTTTGGAATTTCTTTAAATCAATAATTTGCTGTGAACCCAAATCTGTTCTACTACTATACCTATCTGAATGCTAACAAGAGAATTTTTCTTTAATTTTATCAAGGGGTCAGTACAGGTAGGGGCAGAAGTCTGTGAGGTATATCAATATGTGTGGCAAATTATAAAAGCAATAAAACCAAAAGAAAAATAGGTACTTAACTCCACGTAATTTTTTTTTTGCAATATCTCTATTATGTGAACTAACAAAGGCTTTCAGAATATACAGGATAATGCATTTTCCAGTCTCATAGATATTATTAATAACATAACAAAAATATAATAATTAAAAGAAAAATGGTATATTACTCTTCACCTAATGGGGGCTGAAGCTCATATCCCTGTTGAGTGGCCCAACCAATGTGATGAAGAAACGGATCCAAGTAATACAACCAGTGTTCAAAATTGTCAGAGCTTTGAAGTCCTTCGTACCGCAGCTTCAGTCTTCCCCCAATGTTTTCTACTACAGTAACAATCCAAGTGCTTAAAGAGTCCTGGAAAGCTTGACATTCTAGCCGGGAACCTGGAGCAATGAGATCTAAAGGATTCCTCCCGTTACGAAGCTGTAGGTAAGAAAGGGAAATGGTTAAAGAAGAGAAGTTGACGTAATATAAAGGAGCCCCAGTGGTGCAATGGTTAAATGCTCAGCAGTTCGAACCCACCCACCTCCTCCGAGGAGGAGCGAGGAGCGACAAAGACCTTGAGATCTGCTTCTGTGAAGTTTACAGCCTCGAAAACCCTACAGGGCAGTTCTACTCTGTCACACAGGGTCGCTTATAAGTCAAAAGTCGACTCAACGGCATGTAACAACAATATTTTTTTTAAAAAGTCAAGTTTTAAATGATCAAAAAGTAGCCTTTATATCAGATCTGTTCAAAAACCAGAGACTCTGAATTGCCAAATATCATACAAGCCTCTTACGATATCATTTCTAGGTGATATGAAAATGTTTATCTTAAAGAAAATTTACCTATAATGCAATAAAACTATTCTACTGGATCTCTAACTCTAGGGCTATGTTAGTTTCATTTAGTAAGAATTTTTAAAATATCATCAATACTTATTCTCTGATTATAAAAGTAAATATGGTGTTAGTTTTTATATTTAGATCCTTGATCCATTTTGAGTTAGTTTTTGTATATGGTGTGAGGTGCCGGTCTATCTTCATTCTTTTGCACATAGAAATCCAGTTGTCCCAGAACCATTTATTAAAGAGGCTGTTTTTCCCCATTTGATGGACTTAGCACCCTTGTCGAAGATTAACTGACCACAGATGTGTATGCTTAACTCTGGGCTCTCAATTCTATTCCATTTGTCTGTATATCTACCATCATCCCCTGAAGTCTTCTTTGAACCAAAAAAAACAGCTTATCTTAATTAGTAAAGTATGCCTGCTTTGAGCATTGTGTAATTAAAGAATTACATAAGATTAAATTGACAATAACTACTCAAAAGTCTGGCTGGAAAGCTTAGGGGGCAGTGAGTTTAAAATAAGGTGGTGGAATAACTTGGAAAAGGATAGTGAGAATGGCAGCACAACCTGAAGAATGTAATCAATGTCACCGAATTGTACCTGTAGAAACTGCTGAAATGGTGTATCTTTGGCTGTTTGGACATTCACCAAAATAACTTTTTTTTTAAAAAGAAAATATGATCATCTTTAAAGAAAAAACCAAACATGCCAAAAGTCAAAGTCCACTATAATCTCATCTCTGAGAAAGAACCATGAAAAACACTTAGGCATACTCTTGGAGATTGGGTTTTCTACACACAAGCCAACATCCATTTCTGTTTGTCTCACTCTCCTATTTTTTTGAAAAATGGGATCACTGCATATTGTTTTTTCACTTTGTGTTCTTCACCTAATATATGGTAAGTATCTTTCTAATACAGCACATATAATAATCTCCTCATTCTTTTCAACTATTTTATGATATTCCATAGTATGAATGGGTAGTAATTTATCCATTTTTCTAATGATAGCATTTCAGTTTTTCTGATTTTTTATTTATTTCACAAAAGTGTTCTCAAGAACATATTAAAAGCTTTTGATTACACTGATGAGAAGGAAAAGTTTAAGTCTCATTACTTAGATATATATTAAAAGGTACAATAAAGAAAAGGAACACTCATTTTTAAGTCATCATTTAACCTTTTCTTAATACATAATCTTACATACATTTTTTAATAATAATAACTGCTCTGTGATACTTACATATCCACATATATGCAAAAGAACATATGAACAATGAAGGAACACATTCACAGCTAAAAGTTGGAAGAACAGAACCAAGATTAATGCCGAGCAGGCTATTTTATCAGTTCATTTGTTCATGGCTTCATTTATTCATTCCATTTTTACTGAGTGTTCAGTATGTGCCAAGCCCTGTCTAAGCGTAATGAAGTGAGTCGGAGTCTAAACACAAAGAACAGCTTGAACTAGAGTGTTCACCAGTCAAGTTTTAAAAGAATGTTTGCATAGATCATAGACTTAAATGTAAGAACTAAAACTCTTAGGAAAAAAACGGAGTAGTAAATCTTCGTGACCTTGGTTAATGAAAGCCTTCTTAGATGTGACACCAAAAACGTAAGTAACAAAATAAAAAATAGATAAATTGGACTACATCAAAATAAAAAATTTTGTGCTATAAACCATAGTATCAATAAAGTGAAAAGGAAACCCACAGAATGGGAGAAAATATTTGGAATTCATGTATCTGATTCTTGACTTAGAATATATAAAGAAATCTTGTTGTTGAGTGCCATCGAGTCGATTCTGACTCATAGGGACCCTATATGACAGAGCAGAACTGCCCCATAGGGTTTCCTAGGCTGATATTTTCATGGGAACAGACTGCCAGGTTTTTTATCCCACAGAACCACTGGTGAGTTCAAACGACCGACCTTTCAGTTAGCATCCGAGAACTTAACCCCTGCACTACCAGGGCTCCTTAAAGAACTCTTACAGCTCAATAATAAAAAGACAAATAACCCAATTAAAAAATGGGCAGACACATTTCTCCAAAGAAGATATACAAAATGGCCAATAAGTACATGAAAAGATGCGAAACATCATCAGTTGTTAAGGAAATGAAAATCAAAACCACAATGAGATATTACTTCACACATTAGGATGGTTATAACCAAAAAGATAATAACAAGTGTTGGCAAGGATGAGGGGAAATCGGAACCTTCAAACACTGCCTGATGTGAATGTAAAATAGTAAATGAATGTTCACAATAGCATTACTCATTATATCTGAAAAATGGAAACAACTCAAATGTGCATCAACTGATGAATGGGTAAATATAATATGGTATACTCATACAGTGGAATATTATTTAGCAGTAAAAAAAACAAATAGTGATACATGCTATAACATGGATAAACCTTGAAAATATTATGCTAAGTGAAAGAAGTCAGTCACAAAGACCACATATTGTATGATTCTATTTATATGAAATGTCAAGAACAGGCAAATTTATAGCCACAGAATGTAGATAAGTATTGCTTATGTCTGGGGATGAGGAGAGGAAAGGAGATTGACTGCTAATGGGTACAGGGTTTCTTTTCAAGGAGATGACAGTGTCTTAAAATTAGATTGGGATGATGGCTGCACAACCCTGTGAATATACTAAAAAGCATTACATTGTACACTTTAAATAGGTGAATTGTATGACTGTGAATTACATCTCAATAAAGCTGTTTTTAAAGGGGATTTGCATGGCAGTCTCTGCAATTAAAAAATAATAATAAAGGCATTTGAACCCAGCATTTCACATATGCCACAGAGTGTTACTGACATGACAGAACGTGACAAGAAATAACTTAGAAATGTCATAACCAATAAAGTCATTTCACAAAAAAAAAAAAAAACAATCTAACAAACCCAATAGCTACACTAATTTGAAAGAACTGCTGAAAGCAGGTAGGAGGTAGGACTACCTGCAATAGGTTCAGTCTCTTCTGAGCAAAAGAAAAGACAGTTTTAAGTCACCTGGTGCAGGAGTCACAAATGCCCACCCAGAAGGGCTGGTCAGGATGGACACAAGGAAGCAAACCCAGTGAGAGCCTGCCCACCTAGAATCAACTCCAGAATAAGAGCCCAAAGAAGCCACATTTTTGAACTATATAAAAGAACCTGGAAAATTGGAATCTCATGTGTTAGCAACTAATTCAGAAAATCTTTAGGCACTGGGCAAGCTACCAGTTTGTAACCTCTGAGGGTAAGTTTAATTTAGCCAGTAAAGCAGAACCCTCCCAAAACCTATCCCTATATCTCTAGTAATAATGCCTGTTTGCAAAGGAGTGGTAAATGAGCAACCAATTTTAAGATTCCTTGGACTGGAGATATCCCTGAAGATTAGACAGGTTTCCCACACTGCTTGTGCATGTAGTAATACTCACGCCCTCTAGCAGCGGGACAGGGGGACTGCATGCTCCCGTGAGGGTCTGCCGCAGAAACGCAGCCCAGTCAGACACTTTATCTCTGATGCCTGCAGGAGGGGATAAAGGGACAATCACTCATACCGTCAACCAAAGAACACCAGAAACCAAACTGCTTCTTAATCCAGTGCAAATGGTTTGGAGGTGTGTTTCTTACGCTAAGAATCCAATGTATTGTTTCTCCTTTGAAAGCTTAAAAAAAAAAAGGCCAAATGACCAAAATTCTCTATCAAAGACCGAGCTATTTCCTGATCAGCTCAGTAGCAGTTGTACACAAAACAAAGAGAGAATAGGCCCATTCCCTGTTACTATAATTTTATCCAAAAAGTACCTACTCTATTTTTTATTATGGAGATTTTACACAGAAGTAGAGAAACTAGTATAATGAATCTCCACGGACCCTAGCTTCAACAACTGTCACCTCACAGCCAATCCGTTTCAATTACACCAGGAGTTAGCAAAACACAGCCTGTGGGCTAAATCCAGCCCAGAGCTGCTTTTGTAAATAAAGTCTTATTGGACCACAGCCATGCCCATTTGTTTACATATTGTCTATGGCTGTTTTCACACTACACAGGCAGAGCTGAGTAGCTGTGACAGAGACTGTATGGCCTGTAAAGTCTAAAATATCTGCTATCTGGCCCTTTACAGCTAGTTTGCCAATGGTTTATATCTTCACACACACCCTCATCCCAAAAAACCAGTTGCCCTCAAGTCAACTCCAACTCATGGCAAACTCATGTGTGTCAGGGTAGAAGTGTGCTACATAGGGTTTTCAATGGCTGATGTTTCAGAAGTAGATCACCAGGCCTTTCTTCTGAGGTGATTTTGGGTCAACTTGAACCTCCAAACTTTCGGTTAGCAGCTGAGAGAGTTAACAGTTGGCACAACCCAGGGACTGCCCACCCCAACCCAGCCCTGGGTTATTCTGAAGCAACTTCCAGATAGCACACGATATTATCCATATATATTTCAGTATGGAACCCTGGGGGTGCAATGGTTAAGCGTTAGGCTGCTAACCAAAAGGCTGGCAGTTCGAATCCACAGCCGCTCCTTGGAAACCCTATGGGGCGGTTCTACTCTGTCCTACAGGGTCGCAATGAGTAGGAATCAACTCGATGGCAAAACAACTCTTTTTACCACAATAGCATCATTACACCTTTAACATTTTTTAAAATAATTCCTTAATATCACATATGTGTCCAGTGTTCAAATTTCTGTCTCGTAAATTATTTTTTAAATCTGTTTGATCAAATCAAGATCCAAATAAGAGCCCCACGTTGCAAACTGTTGACATTATCTCGTCTCTTCTAATCTGTAGGTTCTCTGTCCTTTCTCCCTTCCACCCTCAACCCTCACTCTATCTTTTTCTTGCAGCATATTTGTTCAAAAACTAAGTCTTATGTCCTAAATAGAGAGTTTTTCAGAGTCTGGTTTTCCTAGTTGCCTCTCTATGGTGACCAGCTGTCCCACTGTTCCCTGTATTTTCTATAAATCAGTATTTAGAGCCAGAGGTTTGATCAAATTCTGGTGTGACTTTTTTTTTTTTTGGCAAGATACTTCATAAGTAGAGTTGTATCTTTCCATCAAGAGGTATGTAAGGTCTGGTTGTCTCTCCTTATATAATGTCAGCAGCTTTTAATGGTCACTGCATACATCCAATAATGCACTAGGAGCTAAAAATGGTGATATTCTAATTCTAGCACTCCCTCTTCATTTACTAACCAGGATACTTCTGTAAAGAAAAACTTTTCTTCATCAACTATTTGATTACTCTGGGCATAGTTCATAAAAAGAAGGCAGGATACATGCTTGGTTCTGTTTATTCTTTCCCTGTATTTACCAGCTTTCAAAATTATGAGTTGGTTCCCTAGCATCTTCCAAAGGTGACGAAAGAAGGTGTTGTTTAGAAGTTTCTTTATGAAGGCATAGATTAAAACACATACAATGTGTTTCAAACCATTGCAGCTGCTGTCCTTGTTGATGAGCAGACTGTCCCACCTTTAACCAGAGGGAGTCTCTTCAGGGTGGCTCCTGAGTCCTTTTGACATGATCCTAGTAAGTAGTCACTGATACCTTTTTTACTTTTTTGGTATGAAAAGATGTTCCCGGCTCATCTTAGACATTTCTGGCCCCCTTCTCGAATTGGCTACTTCCCTAAGGAGCCCTAATTCCTTTCAGTAAAAAAATGGTATTTAGAGATCATAATTAGGGTGTTGGAGGTGCTCACTGCTCCTGGGTTAGTCAATGTTTCTAGGCCTTTTCAGTGTCCAGAACTAGTAAATATTTTCTTCTTTTTTTACAAAAGATAAATCACATCCAGAGTTCATACTGATACTTCTAATACAAATTCAGGTAGATGGTGTTTTTTATGTAACCTCATCTATCTAAGCCCTATATCCTCTCTCCTGTGCTGAAAATACTAATTCTCAATTACACCAATTTAATTATTCATTTGTTTTACCATACAATATACAAACAACAGTTTAAAAATAATATCAACTCTACCACCAACAATAGGATTACTGAAAACAGCTTAAGTTTTTTTTGCAACTTCTTTTGCCCTTAGGGTATATCCCTAGTAGGGGTTTACATTCAAATTACCATATTTTAAAGTTACTGAAATAGTTCCTCTCTGCATGGTTATTCCATAACCTCCATACACAGTTGCACTGCTTTGTTTGATTGTTTTTTAGGAACTGCTTTTTTAAACTTTAATTTAGTTTTATAGTTGTATAAAATACTTACATGGTTCAAAACTCAAATCAACAAAATATGGTACATTCAGAAAAATCTTCCTTCTATCCTTGTCTGCTTCACTCTATTCCCTTCTTTCCTCACAGGTAGCTTTTGAAAATGATTTTATTTTGCAAAAAAATAAGTCCACACACATACACTCATATGCTCTCCTCCTCCTCAGTTCTGTACACATTTTCCTTTTATACACACACACACACACATATATATAAAAACAATATATCCTGGGTATACAATTCCTTGGTTGTATATAAATGGTCCTCATTTCTTTTTACCACTGACAGTAGCTTTTACTGTTATAAAATACCCTTTTTTTTTTTTTGGTCTCTTGTAATGCTTTCTGATCTGAATTCCTCCTTTGTCAGATATCAGGACTGAGATTCCTGTTTTCTTCTTCAATTTGCATTTGTCTGTGTATCTTTGTTCACCTTTTTATTTTTACCCTTTCAGAATCTCTCTGTTTAGTATATCTCCTCTACACAGCACAGAACTGGATTTTGTATTGTGAGCCAATCTGATTTTTTTTTACTTTTAATAGGAGAGTAGATCAACATTTCTCGGTATTATCTATATGGCCTCAATTCTATCATATTGTTAAATTTATTATATAGTCTTTCACTATTCTATTGTATCTGCACACACACTTTCTCTTTTTAAATCTATCATTCGGCATTTAGAAAGGTTTATATTTTATTCTACTGGTTACCTTTATACTAATACCTTTATATAAAATTTTTAGCCCTCTCTATTTTCAATAAACAATACTGAAATTAGCTATAACATTTTCTTTTTTCTCCTCTCCTTCAGCATCTCATTTTAGATAATATCCTTTTTATTCTCAGTTAACACTTAAAAGGCAATTAGTTAAATTACACCAAAATAAAGCTGCTTTAGAAAAAAGAAAGGCATTAAGTGAGCTTATAAAACTATTCACATCCTCTCCCCGCTGTTGTTCCATATTTTTCATAGTTATACTTTGTCTACATTGTCAGAGCATGTAGTCAATATGCACTATACCAAAACCAGCTGCCACTGAGTCAACTCTGACTCCTGTTAATGACCCCCATGTGTGTCAGAATAGAACTGTGCTACAGAGGGGTTTCAACTGCTGATTTTTTCGAAGTATATTGCCAGGCCTCTCTTAGAGGTGCCTCTGGGTGGACTGAAACCTACACCCTTTCGGTTAGCAGCCGAGCATGTTAACTGTACTACCCAGGGACTCCCGTATATACTCTACTGTCTCCATTATAACCATCATTTAGTCTAAGCTGTACATCTACATATGTATTTACTATTTCACTACCAGTTCTTACGCTGATGTTTCTTCATTCATTTTGGTTTTCTGAAGTTTATTCTCTAGTGGGTTCCTTAGGAAGGGCTCATGAGAACAATATTCCTTGAGTCCTTACGTGTTTATAACAATTTGTATATATGGTCTTTATATCCGAAGTTCAGTTTGGCTAAACAGAAAATCTTTAGTTCATTTTTTCTTTCACTGAATTTCTTAAATGTTACCCCATTGTCTTCTGGCATAAAGCACTGCTGTCAATAAGTCTGATGACAACCGTGTTTTCCTTTCCTTACAAGAAACTGGGTCTTTTTGCCTAAATGACTAAGAGATTACTTTTTGCTTTAAAATTCAACAATTTTATTAGAATATATTGATGTAGTAGTTCTCATTTGATTTTCTCAGGTACACGGTTGGCCTTTTCAATGTGCATTTCAAATCCTCTTTTATTTCAGTAAAGTTTTATCAAAATATAGTACTTATAAGACTTTAGAATTCTTAGGGACTTCTATTTTATAAATGTTAAATAATTTTGCCTATTTATATCATTTTTCTCAAATCATTTTTATCTCTATTTCTTTTTGATTTTAAAAGTTTTTCTCTTTATCTACTATTTCTCTTCAGATATTATCCATGGTGTTGATTCATTCTTTTGCTCATTTTAATTTACCTTTCATTTCTATCTTCTTGAAAATTCCTAGTTCTTGCTTAAGTTTTATCTTTTCTCTTTTCAAATCTTTTCTCCTCCAATCTCATTCTTTAATTTTTCTTTTATTTATGCTTTTTTTTAACTGCTTCTATCATTGTTACTGGAGCCCTGGTGGCATAGTAGTTAAGAGCTCGGCTGCTAACCAAAAGACTGGCAGTTCGAATCCACCAATCGCTCCTTGGAAACCCTATGGGGCAGTTCTACTCTGTCCTATAGGGTCACTATGAGTCCCAATCAACTTGACAGCAACAGGTTTTTTTGGGGTTTATCGTTGTTACCAATTTATTTTAGCTTGTTTTGAAATATTTTTATCTGATACAGTGTTCATCTCTTTTTTGATTGTTTCTCTGGAAGAACATTATCCTCTCCTTTTTCTTTTTATCTTATGATAGCCTGGTATGGGATTCGACTTAAGTCTTTTCTGTTGCTCATGTTTAAATGAGATGAATCTTCCTATACTCTTAGGATGAGATGGTGGGCCAGGCAGCTTTGTTGTTTGTACAGCTCCCACTTATATTGTTTTTCACAAAGTGTTAAAAATATATGTATATGGTCTGTTAGAAGCCCACAGGCACTATAGCATCCTAACACCCAGATCATCATTTCTAAATAGATTCTCCACTAAAAGAAACCAGGACTTCTTGAGAAAATGGCTGATTTCAGGGCTGGGGCAGGTAAAGGCTTCTTGAGCCAGAAAGTAAGAAACTGTTCAAAGAATGAGGACATGTCAAAGGACACAATAGATGGCTTTAAGGGTACCCACTGACCAAATCCAGGACCATCTGAGCATCAAAATAAATAATGATAGTACTGAATAAAGTAAGAATCCATGAAATCCACACTGACAAGACAGACAGACATAAATGAGAAAGGAAAGCTCTTTCTGTACTAGAAAGACAATTAAGAAAGTAGAAGGAATTTAAAAAACACCATTTGTTAACCATTACAGTAACAGTAATAATTATAATTTATAGAAATTATCAACTGATGCTAAAAATACTGGGTGCAAGTTTGAGAAGTAATGGGATGTTTACATAGTCTCAAAAGTATCTTCCCACAAGATACTAATTAATTAAAAAGGGGAAAAGAGTAATTTTACTGTGGAAAAACCTGGCATATACTACCTCAGTTAGGTGATGAAAATTACTATCACCAGTAATAGGACAAATCAGCAGTATGTGCCTCCTGATACCAGGCACTAAAAGGACCCAGCACCACCGCTGTGTTTTTCTACCAAAAGCGCACAACCTGAATCTAAGTAAACATCGTTATTGTTGTCAGTTGCCACCGAGTTGATTCCGACTCATGGCAGCCCCATCTGTGCAGCGTAGAACTGCTCCATAAGATTTTCAAGGCTGTGACCTTTTGGAAGCAGATCGCCAGGCCTTCTTTCAAGGAGCTTCTAGGTGGGTTTGAACCACCAGCCTTTCAGTCGAGTACTTAATCGTTTGTGCCATCCAGAGACTCCTCATGAAAACATTAGACAAATTGCAGGACATGCTACAAAATAACTGGCCTGTACTCTTAAAAAATATCAAGACCAAGAAAGGCAAAGAAAGGTTAAGAAGACTAAAGAGACAGGACAACCAAATGCAATGTGTGATTCTGGACTGGATCATGGATCAGGAAAAGAAATAGGACCTAATATATCTTTCAAAAATATCAAAGTCATGAAAGTCAAAGAGAGTCTGAGGGACTGTTCTAGATTAAACGAAATTTGGACAACTGAATGCAATGCAAGATCCTAGATTTTCCTTTAGTAAAAAATATACTGGGAGAACTGGTTAAAAAAGAATAAAGCTTGAAGATTAAATATCAGTATTATATCAAAGTTAATTTTCCTGATTTTCATATTGTACTATGCTTATGAATGTCCTTGTTTTTAGGAATACATTGAAGTATTTATGAATAAAAGGACACCATGTCTACAACTGACTCTCAAATGGTTTAGAAAAACTGTGTGTGTGTGGAGAAACAGAGAAGGATAATGCACATGTGGTAAAATGTCAGCATTTGGGGAAACAGTCTCTAGGAATTTTCTACACTATTCTTGCAATTTCTGTATACCCGAAATTATGCCAAAATAAGAAGTTAAAAGAAAAACATATAAGGTCTGGTATTTTCTTAAATCTTAAGTCTCTATTCCCCTTTCATCTGACCCTTCTCTTTCTTTTGCCCTTACTGTCTCTGTCCTGCTTAATTTGGATTCTACTCCCAGTAGGCTCCTTCCTAGAAGAGGGCTTCAGCTGGTTCACTCTAAGAGTTCATAGGGCCCAGACTGCTTGGGACTGAGAAGGAGGAGGGCAACGGACATAGAAACAGAACCAACAGCACAGTAATCTGGCCCAGTGTGCTTGAAGACAACCAGCCCTCCAGGTCTCAAATTCAAAGAGCTTCGCCGTCTTACAGGATGACAGGAAACTGACAGTCCCTGGGATAAACCTGAGGCTTTCCAGAGCCCAGAAAACAACTTTAACAAATAGGGAAATGTGTATTTTTTTAACAAAATATTTTCATTCAAAATGTCAACATCTAACAGTTGAATAAACCTATATGCTTGGGAGATGTCCACATCTCAAGACTGGACAGCTAAAATTTTCCTGCAGCAATATCACCATCATGTTTTGATAGGAAGTATTTTCTGACCTTCCGGGGCTTCGAGGGTCTTCTTATTCTGCTCACACCACCCAATGGGGTAGAGGTCTGTCTTCCTGATGTCACACCAGAAGTCTGCTTTCCGGTCCTCCCCATAGCCATCATAGCGGAGGAGGAGCAACTGCTCGCAGGTGGTAATGACAGTGGCAACCCAGTAGGTTTCAGGATCTGCCTTCACAGCCACCTCCAGTTTCATCCCAGGAGCAAATCCATTCTGCAGACGTGTGTCCACCTGAACAGGGAAATGTTATTAACCATCGGACAAGTATCTCACATATATTTCTTTGGTCAAATTCTTTTTTTAAGATGTAACACTTCTAAAGTACTAAATGCAGTAGAATCTTATTAAGGGAAACCTGAGAAATTCCAATTCTAACTCACAGGAGTGATCCAAACAAAACAGAGGAATAGCAATGCTCTGTTCCATCTGGCACTGAAGAAAAGGAATTTTAATAGAACTCAATACTTTCACCAAAGCAGTCTATTACGATCACATAAAATGTTTTCTATAAAGCATACAAATCATTAAATGTTCCCCATTTTAACAGCCTTCAACATGTTAAGAGTGATTTCTAGACCATTCAGAAGAAAATTTATGAAACTGAAAAGGAAAGGGGCAAAAATAAGCTATGATGACAATAAATTAGTGTAATATGTACCATATGTAGGGATCCATACTTCCCAGTTTGCCAAAAGCAGTCTGTGTTTACACCTGTTATCCTTAATAATTAGTAATGCTCCCTTTCTCTCTCAAAAATGTCCCAACTTAGATGATAAATTATATGGTCACAAAGGTATGGGTTCCAATTCTGGAACTACTTTATGTGTATGCTAAAATTAATAAGTAAATACACTGTGGACAATAGGGGCTAGGTTTCTCACTGTAGGAGAAATAAGTTACAAATAAAGAAAAAGACCAGAATGAATCATGTGGTGTTGGCTTGGAATCAGAGGTATTAGAATGAGCTCATGATGACAGATAGATAGACAGACAAGACAGATGGATAGACAGACAGGCAGGCATATACACATAAAGTATGAACATGTATGTGTATGTTAAATATACATATAAAAACCCACTGACATTGAGTTGATTTCGGCTCATAGCGACCCTACAGGACAGAGCAGAACTGCCTCGTAGGGTTTCCAAGGCTATAATCTTTCTCCCGCGGAGTGGCTGGTAGATTTGAACTGCCAACCTTTTGGTTATACATAATACGTATTTCCTAGCTCTATGAATTGAGAGGCCCTAGAAGTAATGAGGAGCCCTGGTGGTACAATGGTTAAGTGCTCGGCTGCTAACTGAAAGGTTAGCAGTTCAAACCCACCAACGATGGGAGAGAAGACCTAGCGATCTGCTCCCATAAATATTACACCCTAGGAAACCCTATGGGGCAGTTCTATTCTGTCATATAGAGTTGCTATGAGTCAAAATCAATTTGATGGCACACAACAAGAAGAAGTAATAAAGGGGTCCCTGGGTGGCGCAAACACTTAAGCACTCAACTACTAGCCAAAAGTTTGGCGCTTCAAACCCACCCAGAGGTAGCTCAGAAGACAGGGCTGGCAATCTGCTTCCGAAAGGTCACAGCCTTGAAAACCCTATGGAGTTCTACTCTACACATGAGGTCGCCATGAGTCAGAAGCAACAAGTAATGATACCTCAGTACCAAAAAACCAAACCCAACCCATTGCCCTTGAGTCAATTCCAACTCACAGTGACCCTACAGGATAGAGTAGAACTGCCCCATAGAGTTCCCAAGATTGTAGTCTTTACAGAAGCAGACTGCCACCTTTCTCCCATGGAGCAGCTGGGAGGTTCAAACTGCCAACCTTTTGGTTAGCAGCCGAGCATTTAGCAAATTTAGTGTCTTGGTTTCTTTTTTTTTTTAATTGTATTTTTTGGTGAAAGTTTATACAGCGTATTAGGTTCCCATTTAACAATTCTTATACATACTGTTCAGTGTCATTGGTTACATTTTTCACAATGTGCCAGCATTCTCATCATTTCCATTCTGGTTGTTCTGCTTCCATTAATCTAGCTTCTCTGTAACCTCCCTCCCCACTTACCTTCTCATTTTTGCTTTATGGTAAATATTGACCTTTTGGTCTCATATAGATGATTATTTAAAGGAGCACAGTACTCATGGGTGGTATTGTTTATTTTATGAGCCAATCTATTACTTGGCTGCAAAGTGACCTCCAGGAGTGGGTTCAGTTCCAAGTTTAAAGTAGTATCTTGGCTTCTAAATACCGTCTTCTTAAAAAAAAAAAAAAGCTCCATAGAGAAATGACAATACAAGACTGGAATATCTTGCGATGCTCAAAAAATGAAATGCTCAAAATATGATAGAGGCGTGTCGAAAGGACACTGGAAACAACATGAAGGATCTCCCAATGGCTGTATCTGTGACAATCTCAGCAATAAAATAATGATAGTAATGGATTATATAACCCATAAAGTTAAATAAATATCCATGAGTCCATACCTGACATACTTCAAAAGTGACAAGGTTATGAAAGACAAAAGAAGGAGGAATTATTACACGCTGGAAGAGACTATGGAGACATGACAATTGGATGCAATGTGGGAATCAATAATTTCCCATTATATGTCATGTGATTTTGCTCCTTTATTCTGCTTACTGTGGTGAATTACATTGGTTGATTTTTAAAGCATCTTGCATTCCTGAATAACCAACTTGTTATAGATATATTATCCTTTTCAAATACAGCTACATTCAGTTTGATATTAGTTTGTATATGGATTGTTTTACTTCTACAGGAGTGTCTGTAATATTCATTTCTCGTAATATTCTTATCAGGTCTTGTTACCATGGTTATGCCGATTTCAAAACAAGTTGGAGGCTATTTCTCTTTTTGCAACCTTTGAAAGAGTTTGTGTAAGACTGGAACTTTTTTTTCTTTAAATATTTGGAAAACTTTACTGGTGAAGTCATCCAGGCCTACAGTATTTTCTTTGTAGGAAGCTTGTTAACCATTGATTCAATTTCTTTAATATTTATAAAATTTTTCTGTTTCTTCTGGTATCTATTTTGTTACACTGTTTTTCTAAGAATGTATTCATTTCATCCTAAGTTTCACAGTTAATAGCATAAAATGCAGTATTTTCTTTGTGGGAAGCTTGCTAACTACAGATTCAATTTCTTTAATATTTATAAAATTTTTCTATTTCCTCTAGTATCAATTTTGTTAGTTTTTCTAAGAACGTGTTCAACTAAAATTTCATATTTATTAGCATAAAACTTTCAGAAAATTTTTCATAGAATTCTGTATTTTTTTTAATACATGCAGACTCTAATGATTTGACTTTTTTCATATTGGCTATTTCTGCCTTTTTCTTTCTTTTTTTTGATCAGTGTTGGCACGATATTATCAATTAATTAGTGTTTTCAAAGAATCAACTTCCAGCTTTGTTGTTCCTCTCTATTTTATATTTCATTTATTTCCCATCTTCATAATTTCTTTCTACTTTAATATTAATGTACTTAAAAAAAAACTTCTTAGGATAAATCAGCCAAGGTTCATTGATTTTTCAGCTTCTCTTTTTCTTTTTGTATGTAAGGGTATACAGGTTTCCCATTAATCACAGCTTTAGATGAATATCACAAGTCTGATGTGTAGTATTTGAATTACTAATTCAGTTCAAAATATTTTTAAATGTCCATTGTGAACTTTTCCTTAAACCACAGGTTATTTAAAAGCTATTTCTAAATTTCCAAACAAATGGGGATTTTCTACTTATCTAAACTATATACTTTCAATACTTTAAAATTATCAAGACTTGTCTAATATGGCCCAGCAATTTTTATAAATGTTATATGTACTTAAAAAGAATACAGATTCTGCAGTTGTTGGGTAATACGTTCCATATACATCCAATCAGGTCAAGTTTGTTTATCTTTTTCAAATTCTCTATATTCTTACTCATTTTTTGACTGATTATTCTATCAGCTACTATGGAAAAAGTGTGCTCAGATATTCCACCAAGATGGAATATTTATCTACCTCTCTTTGTAATTCTGTCAATTTTTTGTTTTATATATTTTGAGGCTACGTTATTAGGTGTATACAAATTTACAAATCTTCCTGGTGAATTTAATCTTTTTTTTTTTTTTAAATCATTGTGAAGCTTCTCTGTTTATCTATAGTAGCAGTTGGGAAACGTTTTCTGAATAGGGCCTGATACTAAATAATTGAGGCTATGTGGGCAATTTGGTCTCTGTCGCAATTACTGAACTCTGTTTTCCAGCACAAAAGCAGTCAAACACAATACCTAAATGAATGATTGTGGCTATATCCAAAAACATCTTTATTCACAAAAACAGGCAGTGGGCCAAATCTGGTGACAGGTCATAGTTTGCTAACCTCTATCTATAGTAATATTTTTTGTCCTAAAGTCTACTTTGTTGGTATTATTGCAGCTACATCACCTTTATTTTGGATTGTATTTACAAAATCTATCTTTTCAACCCTGTCTTTCAAAGCTTTAATCTGGTGCCATCGAGTCAATTCCTACTCACAGTGACCCTACAGGACAGAGGAGGAGGACTGCTCCATAGGGTTTCCAAGGCCATAATCTTTACAGAAGCTGACTGCCACATCTTCCTCCCACAGAACGGCTGGTGGGTTCAAACTGACGACCTTTTGGTTAGCAGTCAAGTGCTTAACCACTGTGCCACCAGGGCTCCTTCTTCAAAGTTTTAGTACCTTTTATTTTAGAGGTATTTCTTATAAGCAGCAGATAGTTGGATTTTGTGGTGTATTATATAGTCTGATGATCCTTGCTTTTAAATTGGAGGATTCAGTCCATTTATATTTAATTCAATTAACAGACTATTTTGGGGGTATATCTGCCATTTTATTTTTGCATTCTATTTGTCATAAATGCAATTTTTAATAAACATAAGATTATTCAGGGTTATCTACTTCTTCCTGAGAGAACTTTGGCACTTTGTATCTTTCAAAGAATTTGTCCATTTTATCTAAGTTGTCAAGCTTATGAGCAAAGAGTTGTTTGTAATATACCCTTATTATCCTTTTAATGTCTGTAGAGTCTGTAGTGATGTCCCCTCTTTTTCCCTGATCATTGTATTATTTGTCTCCTCTCTTTTTTTCTTGGTAGTTTGCATAGAGGTTGTCAGTTTATTGATCTTATCAAAAACCAACTTTTCTTTTCACTGATATTCTCTACTGTTTTTCCCTTGTCAA